ACGACCAGTGAGATCTTTGCATTTTAAACTTTTTCACCCAAGTGGAACTGCCTCAAACTTCTGTCAGCGAAGCTCTGGCCATTTCTGTGCATTTCCACTCCACATTATTAATTCCACTTATTTATGTATATCCATTTTTTTTATTACTGCAATCCATTTAAGCCTATTGCATTTCTGCCTCCTTTCCAGTAATTATAAAACCGACCGAGTTCAGGATGCTGGCGAGAAAGGCCCTACAGAGCTACACCACACCTGGTGGGAGAGTGTAAGGGTTTGTTTTTAAAACGTTGCCCAATGCGATAACAAACAAGGTTTGGTGAGAGAGCTACCAAGTTAAGACGGCTGTGAAGAAGTAGAAGTTCTTGTGGCTTTTTTTTGTTGCTTATTTTTTGGTTTTGGGTCCCTCCACCCCATCCGTCTAAATATTCACATACTAAGCTTAGAAGGAATGGCATGACATGGAGTAGGATCAATGGTGAGTGCAAGGATCTGTTCTTACCAGAAAAGCAAGCAGGAGCTGATCTTAAATGATGTCAACCTCCCACTTATTAGGGGGAGAAAGTAATTCCCAGCCAAGCACACACCTGCACTCACCTTGTTCAAATTTTGGTAGGGAACAGCATATGAAGAGCAGAGAGAGGAAACTGAACTATACAAAATGAGCCCCAGGAAACTCAGAGTTCCAGGGGGATTGTGAATGCTGCAGGCATCAGAGGAGGAGCACTCTCAGTACAGTAGGAGAAATTAGCATCAATGGAACAGATATGCTATACAAGTAGGTAAGATACTGGACCGCATACACTAACATCCTTTCCTTAAAACAAAAACCTGGTGTGTGTGAAGAATAATTCTGTCTCATCTTACTGAAAAGAAAAACAAGGCCCAAACGTTGTTTTACTGGTGAAAGACAGCTGCCCTTAGTCCTGGCTTCCTCAGAAAAGAGCTTTCTCAGGGTGGTTAACAGGATTCACCCCAGAGAATACGAAGCTCTTCCTCTTGCATATGTGCATGTCCCAAGTCTAGTCCTACTGGGCACCTCCATGAAAGCTGGAGCGTGGACATCAAAAGCCGTTCTGTAGTCCAGGCAAGAACAAGAAAACACATATTGTTTTCAATAGCCAACTAACACTTGGTGCAAGGTGTCTCTGCCAAAGCCCACCCAGAAACACTCCTACAGACTGCAAGGGGCTTCAGAACCCACATTCACGTGCTTTGGATAGCAACCAAAACAAAAGCCTTCACTTTTTCCAGAATATGCAGACTTTCAGTGCTGGCTGCTGCTTTCACTTTGATCACTATCCTTTTTATTATTTACGTGGTATTCATCAGGATATATTTCCCAAAGTATCCATCTTTTAATATGAATGATGTTCAGCCGAGGTGAAGAGACTTTGTTAATAGACAAGATTATACCTTTGATTTTACAGGAGTTCTTGTGGTACGTGTATGCACAGGAAGGGAAACCTGACGGGGATCATCCTGCTAATTCCACTTCTCTAGAGGTCTGGTGGGTCTCACACACAGAGGAGGTGCAATACATGCAGATTTCCAAAGGCAGTGATACCACTCCTTCAAATCATTACAGCATGCAAGATCACAGCAATCTAACACTTACACAGCAAAGTCATTGCTACAGGGCAAATCCATATTTTTATGTAGAGTCTTTCTGAGGTCTAGGATGAATTCTATGACCTAGAGTGAATAAAACTTTTTACAGATCAGAATAAGGTGATTTGGAAGAGGAGCAGTAAGAAAATGAAGGCATTACAGCAAAGAGACAGCTCTTTCAGGTGCACTGAATAAGCTACAAGATTTTTAACATTCTCCCTCCTCATTCCTCAGCTTTGAAAATGAACTTCAGAAATGCAAATCAGGAGCACATGCAGGTGCAAAAACTCTACCTTCTGCAGAGCAGCACAGGGGAAAGGACTGGTACCGGGCCAACGCAATAGCTTGCCAACAGTGCTACAAATCTGAGCATCTCTTCCTGAAGACTGACAAAACTGCATGTACAGTTATGTCAGAGAAGAGCAAGAGCCCCATCCCAGAGAGCTCTGTGGCCCTGTGATGCACTTTAGAGTAAATCCAAGAACTTGAATTAAACTGAAGTCTCTTTGCAAGAAAATTAGAAGTTTCATTCATCAACACTAAAAAATATTTCTGTTTGCTGTTCCAAACAGCAGGGCTGGCCAACTGATCCCCTGACTCTCTTTCACTTGGGCTAGCAAGCGATTCACACTCCATTATTTCTCAGCAGAATACACATTTTTCACAACAGGTAACACACCACAAGATGTCAGTCACAAAATCAAAAAAAGAAACTGGAAAGCTAGAGAGAAACAGTTCAGGTGAGATCAGCTTGGCACAAGCCACAGCATCATCTGGCAGCCACAGCAACTGTGCAAAATAACAATATTAAAAATATAGCAAATTTTACAAAAACAAATCCTGCTTACACTATCCCCTCTTTATAAACACCCTTGGTGAAGGAATCAGCTTTTCAGTGGCAATTATTTCTCCTGGAGTGAACAGACTAGAAGGGTCATCTTTGCTTCGCTTTGTTCACTGTAACCTGTATTTAGCATGAAGGTGTAGTTTTCTTTCCCTCTCCTTTTTTCTTTCAAAAATTCCATTTAAACATAGATCAATGTGAAGTAATCTCTGTAAAAACACTACCTATTGATATTCAGTTAAAACGAGACATTTCCTCATTGTCCCATGGCAGCAAGTCATCAAAGCTTATTACACTGCATACATCTGATGGAGCAAATATTTACACCCAGGAGTTCATTATAGTGCAATTAAACTGCTTAATTATAACTGACATAAATGACTATAGTAACTTCAGAGGGGAGGTAATATTTATGTATCGCAACTTTTTCCAGATATTTAGAAATGTGTAATAAAAAGGCAGAAAATAATAATAATAAAAAATAAATCAAGCCAACCTTGTGTGGTTCATGTCATCTTCATCACTACTGCCAGCTTCGTCACTGGATGAGGAATAGTCTGCTGCTTTTAAGAATGAGCTGGCACCGTCCCTCCCCTTGGCAAAGGAGCCTGGATTCTGAGTAAAGAACACGCAGATGTTTTTTTTCTCATGGAAGAACCCATCGCTAAACAGCATGTGCAGTATTTTACTGTCCCAGCAAATATAGTGATTGTCACTTCCACACCAAAAAAAGCTTTATTGGGAAGCTGATGTTTTTGTTAGTCTATCGTAAGTGGGTATTTCATACAGGAAAGTGACCTAAGCCAAAATACCTGATTTCCCTAAAAGCTGACTAACTTTAGTCAGTATGTTATTTTGGATCTCAAGTATTCATGATTCAATCTTCACACTTTGCAGGAGCACAGAAGTACTTCCTTTTTCACACAAGAAAAGGAGCGCTCCGTGCCAGGACTAAAGGATTGCATCGGCTTGAGTTTTGCTCCAGCCCTGGAGTACGCTGAGGCTTGCAGATGTGGAGCACCTTTGGGTACAGCCCAGGTACGGAGCACCTTTGGGCTGGAAAGACAACACCAACACAGCCATGGCTCACACCCAGAGGGCAGGCAGACACCCCAATCCGACCGGAACTCGTATATAGGCCTCCCGCATCACTGGCAATGGCCTGAACACAGAGTCTTCTTCACACCCCCGGTCCCTGACAAGCCAGGAGGGGCTGGGGACTCCGGTAAGCTGCAGAGGTCCCCCGCTGCCCCGCTCTGCATCCCCTGGAGCCACCCAGGCCTGCCTGCCAGGTTTTAAAATGCCAGGCATCCCGCAAACTTTTAAAATGCCAAGCATGCCACATATGAGCTGTTGCACAAAGCACCATGAGCTCCAGTTGTCTGACAGACACTCCCAAAAAAACCTCACCAGCAGAGAAACGTCTCAGTAAGTAAGACAGAGAAGTAGCAATCATCCTTTCCATCAGTGGCACGTCAGCGAAAGGCAAGCCAAGACAGTCTTGAGCGTGTCACAGCCTGGTAGCACATATGCCAGGCAGTTACACACTGGATATTTCCACAAGCCACAGGTATGGTCTTGACTTCTGGGTTGCATGACAAGTGATCAACGACTTCCTGAAATATCAAAGACACCCCCTTCCTTGCCAAAAATTTATGATCAGGCAGGTTGAGGAAAACGGAACTCTCTGCCGCTGACCCGAGCTAGACACAAGTCACACCTGGACCGAAAGCTGATGAGACACACTAATGCAGCAGTGAGCCCGAGCCAGCCCCATGCAGCCCCTCAGACGGACCCATTCGCGAGCAAACGCAAGTGCCAAGAGAGGAGCTGCCTGCATAGACATGCCCTCAGCGAAAACCATGATCAAATCAAAAATATCTGTGGATTTTAAAGAACCTACTGCAACCTGGCCTGGATGAGAAACTTTTTCAGACTTCTTATGCAGCTGGAAGTGGTTCTGCGACAAAGCGTTCTCTGCCTTGGCTGGTCCTGGATTCCCTGGGAAGGGAAGAAAAAAAAAAAAAGTTTCTTTTTTTAAATGCATGTGCAGCAGAGTGAGAGACCAGTAAGACAAGCACATACAGTTACCACCCAAAGCAGACACAGCTTCTGCTGACAAACTTCTTTTTTTCTCTTTGTTGCAAAGGGAAATCTTTTTGCTTGTTTCCCAATGTTTCTGATGCCTCGATATTATGTATATAATTCAATACTGGTGCAGTTGACTGCTGCAGGAGTAAGACAAGCAGACCAAAACCTTGACAACACGCGCCCACTGTGCACCAGCAACAGTTCCATGGACTGGAGGGCAGCGTGCGAGGGAAAAGAGCGAGGGCATGCCAATCCCTTCCTCTGATCCTCTTCTTGAGGGGAGAGAGCTCACCATATGATCAACTCCTGGGTATGTTCCAGCACTGAAGTGCCACCCAGCTGTATCCCTGTGGCAGACAGGGGTCGGGCAGAGGGTACAAGAGCCTGGGTCCCTGATGCACACTTGAGCAAACAGATGTGGCGCCAAGATTTGGCCTTCGTAAAACTGTTGCACAAAAACAGCCTAAAGGACCTGATTCTCAAAACCCAACTGGGCTGGGGACAGCCAGCTGCACTGAACTCCACTCATGAGCATGGGGTCAAGCTAAAAGCAGAAGAGGATTCACCGCTTCCCATGGCAGCACAGGGGGAACTGGTTTTCAGTCCCCGCTTCCCTTGGGGCACGCGGAGTGTCCCTTCTCAGCTCCCACTTCCACTCTGCGCTGTGGGGAAGGAGATAATAACAGCCCTCGGTCTTGCAGAGGGAACTGGCCCCCTCCATGGGCCACCTCAGCATCAGGTGGCACCTCATGGCCCTCTGCCCAAGGTAAGGTGCGGGTAGTAAGGAAGCCACGGCACTATGCTTCCCTCCCAGGTGCCTTGGGGACCTACACATGCCACTGTGCTTGCACAGCTATTGAATACCCAAGCGAACAAGACTAGAGGAGTCCACCTGCGTGCGCTAATGCCATGTTAGGAGGGATCCTTGCAAGTCATTAAGTGCATCTTCCCTTTCAATGGCCCTGCTGTCCACAAAGCTACCCGGGAAGAGCAGACGCAGCCTTGGAGAGATGCAGCCTTCTGCACACAATTCCTGATACAAGTGAAGGAAGAGAAAGCAGATGTGCCCTCACCCTGTCGCTGGGACACATGAGCCAGCTCAATGTCTACCTCGTTCAGCAGTTTCTCCCATGACAATCCCACTGCTACCAACGGCACTCCTTGCAGTTTCAGGGGGTAGAATTCCAGCTCACACAAATTAGGATTGGTATTTGCTAATTTAGATAGTTTTATCACAATGGCTTCATGTATTCATGTATTTTGCAAGGCTTTTACAATACAGAATTCCTTATTGGTCAACGAGTACCTAAGCAACTCAGCAGGAGTATTAGCTTTAAAGTATTTATAGCCCTTTCCTGCCCAATTCATTATCCCTGTGGGTTTGGGAAAGCAACAAACTCTTTCTGGAACACCATATGCCAGAACTAGCTGCAATTTAATGACACTTAAGAACCCAAGGAAACAGTTTAAACCACAAGGGAGGTTTTCTATTCTTTCCATTGCTGGTGAGGTTTTCATTTCCCCTTGCCAAAATGGCACAGGAGTTACACATCATGCAGACATTGCAAAGTTGAGCTGGGCTGTTGCATGTTGAATAACAGCATAGTGACAAACAAACATAAAATGACATCAGAGCAAAAAGAAACAAAACCCAAGCAGCTTAAAGTGTGCTTTAGATTTCTCTTGAAGCAAAGCTTCCTATTCTGCGTAGTTAGTGAAAGCAAAACTGACTTGATTGTGTAAGTGTAATAAATAAGCAATTTGTTCTTCATTTATCAAGGGCTTGCAAATTAACAATGTGAGCCTCAGTTTAAAAATAAATGACCACAGCAGCTCACTGATGTGGCTTCAGAACGTTTTTAGCATCCACCCTGCTTTGAATTAGGCGTGATTCCCCATGTCCCCCATCTTTAGTAGTCAACCTGGATGCAAAGCGCTGTAACACACCACTGCTTCGCAAGGAGCTACACCAGAAATTGCCCTACAGTTGACCCACAGAAAATGCCTTTAGAAAAAAACAACAGCGGAACAGAGCTGTCCACTTCTGCTCCGTGTCCCCATCTGCCAGAATCTCGGGTCATGTCTCAGGAACCAGACTCTGTACTGCAAAGAATCTGCACAACCATGAGCAAGCCCACTGTGTTCCTACATCACTACCAGCGATACCAGGACAGCTTACAACGTTGCACCTTGCTTAAACTGAATTAGGCTATCTCTACCTTTTAACTTCTCTTGCCTTTTTTTTTTCAGTTTCACTACCTTTCTGCAGACAAAAGAATATCAGGGGAATGTTTCATAAGGTGCTGTAAAGACAGTCCTATGCTTCCTTCAGCCAGTACGTTATTAGAGTGCAGAAATATTAGTGTACAGCAACTGCTCATCTGTATCATCTTATCAGTGGGCAATGCAAAAAAGCAGCATACGGTTATGCAGAAAATGCCAATGGGCAAACATTAGAATGAATTACATCTGTATTTCTGTAATGTTGGATCTGCTGAGTTTCAATGGTGTCAATAAGTGCAACAGAACAGATTTTTTTTTCAATTCTTAATTGAGGCGATTCAAATTTTCTATTTGGAAATATATTCACAGTCACTTTTGACTCAAAAGAGGAAGTGTTTATATTTTAGGAACATGGAACCGTGAAATCCAGAGGGCTTTCAAAAGCCTATCACCAGAAGACTTCATTAAAAAAAATATCCCATTTGCAACGCAGCACTTGACACCCCGCAGAAGCCCATTTCACATGATCGGAATTTTGCACATTTTGACTAATGAATCTTTGACTTCAGAATCACCTGAGGTTGACCGGCTGCTCTGATGAGATCCCATCTCCCACTGCTTATTGCCAGGAGCGCTGCTGCTGCTGTTCAGCTTCAGAGCATGTCCCCCGGGGGATGACTGATGAGTGGTACTAAACAGAGATAAAAAGCAGATCAGACTATCTTGCATGCAGGAACACAGACTGGAACAGACCTCGTAGGCCACTGAACCGAGTTCCCTGCTGTTACTGTATGATACAATCCTCCTGAAAGACTAAAATTTTATATTCATTGCTACTCTGAGCAGGGCCACCCAGTAGTGAGAGAAGAAGATGGAGGGGACAGTTTCCCCTGGACAGCCATTCTGGGAGATTACAGAGATTCCCAAGTCATTACAGAATATCCTACTATACGTACTTCTCCCTTGGCCTCCTCAGATCTGTGTCACTCCTATTCCAAAATCTCATGGCTTTTACAAATAACGAAACCTGCTCCAGTACCCTCTTATAAGACACATCATCATCCACTTATCAGTGGAGAAAGGAACGCGTCAGACAGTAAAACAAGCTGCCAAGCTTGTGAAGTAAAGCAGTGGCTCACCCAGAAACCCGGGCTCAGAAGCCACTCACTTGTAACACGGTGGTTTACTTACACTTTTCTTTTCTGCTTTGCCTCCTACAATTCCTAAGTAGAGAGCATTTAGGGCTTGACTTCACTTGAAAGTTATTTCAGATGATGTTTCTGATTCTGGCTCATCAGAACTGCTGCACATTATTTTGTTACGTCCGCTAAATCTACTTCCCTTTCAAATCTCTCCAAGCCCAATGCCTCACAGCATTACATTCCCCAATCAGACATCCAGTGGGAGCTACCCTTTACCGCTGATCTCTCTGCATCCTTGGTCTTTTCTCCTGGAATATGAAAAAAAGCAGACTAGCCTTAAGGGCAGAGTGCCAAAATAGTCAAGATACATCTACAGATGGCATATTTTACCTGTTCGAGCTACTACAGGCACAAGCTTCACAAGCTGTAAGTGCCTGTACAGGGAGCTGGGGCCAGACCCCCACTCGCCAAAGTACCCCGGCACCTCTGAAACCAACGGTGCCGATGTAAAGCATCCGCAAGAGCATCCTGGCAGCCCTGACCAGCACCCCTCCCACCTGCCACCACCAGTGTTGACAGCCTCGGATCTCAATTAACCTGCCCCTTCAGCAGCCACTTACTCTAATGTGAAGGGAAAGTAAAGCATCGCCAAATCACAAGAAGTTAAATGACGGCACAACGTGCTGCCCGTTAACTGGGAAACGGCCGCACAACTTGCGTGCAACCCACTCGGGCATACCAAACAGGCTGAACGAAAACAACTCATTGCAGGAATTATTACAGATGGAACAGCCCTAATATATTAAAAATACTGCTTTCCAGCAGAAGACAGAACTGCCTTGCATGAAAAGGAAGAGGAAATCTACAGGAGGCTTGTTTCTCTTTAAATCAGTTAGGCCAATCAACAAAAGGAAGCTGACTTAGACACTTCAGGTTTAAGATCAGGAAGTTTGGTTAGTTTTTGTGGAGAAACTGACGCAAAAGACAAAATAATTGTAACTGCTATTAAATGAGGTATGAACCCAACATCAGTTTTGGTGACATTGTGGTTATGGGTTTGTTTTTAATAAACTGGCTTTAGTTTTCTTTTTCACTATAAATCAGAGTTAGTATAAGCATAAAATGCCTAAGAGCTTACCTTGAAAGGCATCTCTGATGGCCCGGCTGATCCCTGCTGTAAAATTTAGAGGTTGTCCTTTCTGGAACCTTAAGGATTTAATCAAATGTTTTAAGTTTGCTACTGATATTTTAGACTCAGTTAATAAACCTAATGCTTACCCTTTATCAATGCAAAAATAGGACTAACCAGCATAAATGAGTAATGCTTCAGTGGGACCTACGGAGAGGGCTTCTGTGATATCAACAGTGGAAGCTGCAAGTCAGTCGCAGGTGCTTCCAATTTGCTCCAAGCCTGTGCAATCTATCAGAGTGCAGACTGCAAGTGGTTTGCACCTTTTCTTAGAGTCACCATTATTCTTGGTCAATGTTTAAAGCAGACAGGGAAATGCATCTGCAGTCACTTAACACAGCTTTCCCTGGGTGGTGGATTACCGTTGCTACCAAAGGGCTGGAGGAAGAGACACACGCACACTCACCCCCACTAATGCAAAGTAATAAAATGAATACATGCACGCGCATACACATCCCTGCACAAATATTCTTGTACTTGCTTATAAATTTGTGTCTTCTTTCTAGATTACTGAGAGCCAGTTAACACACAAGAATTGGGATTTTCACTGAATTTCTTAAAGTCCAGAGGATGGATACTACACAGCACAGGGGATCTAAGCGGAGTGCTATTAACCACTGACAATGCCAAATACCCCGAGTTTCACGTACCTTTGGGGGTTGTTCTTCGTTTTGACTCACACTCCAGAATACGTCATCCTGCACAGGGCTGAGCGGTGTCGTCACCATATCTGACAGCGAACTGCTGTGGTACACATCCTTACTAGCCCGGAAATTTTCACACTTGAAACAAATGAAATACATGTTGAAGTGTACGTCCCTGCCTATGTAACAGGTCCCAATCTCAACAGATATCAATGGTTCTGTTTGTGAGATCAAGCTTTTAGTAAACCTACAAGAAGTACTGTGTTTGGATACAGCCCTACTCACCCTGTCCACTGTGAAGTGACTCATTTCCAGCATATTAGCATGTTAGGCACAAATATTTCAAGGTGAAGAGTAAAATAAAAAGAAAGAGTAAACACATCTATGCTGCACATGTATCTCCCCTTCTTAAATCTACAGAGATTGCTAATAGGTCACATGCAACGCGCAGCAAACGAATTAACTGAATGATGCAAAAATTACTATTGAGTAAGTGTATTTCATTCAAACCTGACCAATGCTTCCGTTTCAGAATTTAGACAGTATAATCACTGGGGGAACCCACCTCCCCTAAGTTAGATGTTGGCTTCCAAACTAGTCTTTGCAAGCCCACCATCAACCTAGAGTCAATGGAGACAAACCACCAGCACTTTCAACCCTCCAATGGTTATGATGGTACCCCGGCCTTCCTCTGTAACAGATTTTTCAATTACTTTGGAAAAAAACATTAAACTTGAGAATGAAGTAAGAAAGAGGTAAGAAACTATGCTCAGACTACACCTCATGGGTAGTCATGTCCAGGCAGTCCCATTGTGACCACCTGTGTTTCAAAGATACCAAATTAGAACATTAAGATAGCAAATGCCCTAAATCACAGGGATGGGGGGAGGAGGGGAGGAAGCAACCAAATCACTTTCTTACAAAGTCTTCATTCCAAGGGAACAACAAGTAAGCAGTGTAAAACTCAAGCTAAAATACTAAAAAAAATTTTCCTCTGATTCCTTCTGTATCTAAAAGGAAAAAAAAAAAAGAAAAAAAAAGAAAAAAAAAGGAAAAAAAAAAAAGAAAAGAAAGAAAGGTCCCTTAAGTTCTACACACTAATGATCTATTACACCTGCATTTTCCAAAAGGGAAGAAAGGCAGAGAGCTAAAAATGTCAACTGTTGTACTGATCCTCCCCAAAATGAGAAATCCTCATGGCCACAAGACCGAGCCAGGACAGACGGAACTGCTGTGCAAGCTGGGCCCATCTTGAGGGATTGCTACGCTAGAACCAATATGATGTTACAGAAATAGAAAAAAAATCTTAGAGAAATGCCTGAAGCTAAACCACTTTGTGCTTTATCTTTTCAAACCTCCCGTGCAACGCAAGACCAGGGCCCTCTGGAGACACCCACAGCTGGCAGGAACAGGTCCTGATGTCCTTCCCACATCGGGAGGAGCCCGTGCCCCGGCACGCGAACACACCTCTGCTGGGAGGCACCTCTTTTGCAAACGCACGGCAAGCCCAGCATCCCCACCACTTGCAGGCCTAAGAAAGAGGCAATCTTGGTTTGAGTCAAAGTTCAAACTTTTTTGTCCTGATGGAGTTACTGCAACTCAGATCAGAGACAGTTGCAGTTCAGTTTCCCCAAAGAATAACTCAGAAAAGTATTTTATTGATTTATCAGCCAAGTCTATAAAATTCTCCAGTTCCCCAATCTTAACAAGTAAAATACGGTAACTGAGAACTGCGCACAGCTTTTCAATAATATAATATGATTACAAACTCCCTATAACTCTACAAGACTAAATATTTCATGGGAACAATGTTCAAAATCACTTAAATATTGACAGGTAGTAATTCTAAAACTAGTTAAAGATGCCAAACATCTATTCAAACGTCCCATCACAACCTCCCAGACCAGCACGGCAAAGTTAACTGTCAAAAACCAGTCCTGAGAAGTTCAGCTAGTTAAATATTCAGGTGCTTTTGCTGCCTTTTTGGGACAATATGTTCCGTTGACTCCCTTTACAGAAAATAGCTTTTTCAGCAGTTATCTCATAATCCATGTCCTTTCATTTTATCAAAATTACTTTTTTGCCCAACATGATTGTCACTAATAACAGTTTTTATTTAACCAGAATTATTTCAACAGCAAAGTGTTCCCTTGAGATGATTCACCCTGGGTATAGGAATAGGTTTTATAGCAAGTGTATTATTATCAGAATATAGGAAGATTTTTTTTTTCCCTTGCCACTTTGTCAACAAGATACTTATATTTCATCCTAAATTCCAGCTTTTGAGTCCTGGAGAGGACCAGAAAACTATTTGTGCTTAAAAGCATGGATGAGCTTTGCTGAATCATGATATGAGTGACCCGGTGAATCCAAACTCTGCAGATGGTACCCACAGACCTTCTTTGGGCAGACAGAGACCAGAACACCAGTTCCACACAAAGCCAAGGAAGTGACACCTGCTTTTAGGGTGATTTCTGTAGGACCTACAGGACTTTGCAGTTCCCCAGCAAACCAAAAATGTCTCAGATAACCCCCCAAAATCATAGTGTTTGATATTCCCCCTAAGTTTTACAGATAAAATAATTTGTATGGGGGGAAAAAAATAAAAAAATCATTCTAAACTACTGAGACTTGAACTTTAAAATGTTTTTATTGTAAGTAATACTGAAAGAACAGCAGCTCCTCTCATGCACAGAAAGCACTGGTAGACAAAGCGTTACCTGCTAGGTGTCTTCAAACCATAAAGGCACACCTAACAGAGCTATGGAAGAGGACCCTTTGCTCCCTGAAATTATAACATAAGGTGATATAGTACAAAATACTGACTACTAGAGTTAGTTTAAAAAGACTTAGGGGTGAGGAGTTTTAAAAAGACAGGCTGCACCGCTTTTTGGACGATGCCCAAGTTACTAATTTGAACTGAATCTACATACAGGGGGTAGATAAGGGCAACTGTTGTTACAAAACAGCATAAGGAAAAGGATTTTCTTAAACTTCTGAGCAGATCTGCTCTGGGATACTGGGTCAATCCACGACCTAATGCACAGCCAGTTCTTCTAACATCGTTAGCTTGCTTGATCTGTTTCAGTCACGTTACTCCAGACAATAGGGGACATCGAGCTGACAAATTCTACAGGAAAACCACAGAGTCAAATAAAAAATGGAGTTCATTTCAGATGTGAGCTAAATTCCTGCACTAGTCAGGCAGCAGGAGATGCTGGGCAGAGAAAGACTCAGTGACTTTGCTCAAGAAGTCCCTGTGAAATTCTGCAGGTAGTCCAGAATGGCTCATCCCACACCACCACAACCAGAGTGTCAGATCTGCGACCACACTGCAGCAAACACAAAACAGGTACAAAACAGGTGGAAATGACACATTCTGATCTGGTAATATCTCACAGTTCCCTTACCAGACAGACAGGATACAAGACACTGAGAAATCACGCTCCCTGCACCTCAGGGGCTGTGTTAAAATTTCCAGTGAAATAATTCTGAGAGAGATTTGGGGAACCAGGATGTGCCACAAAATCTCACAGAATACAATCGTTTAAAATAAGAAGTCATTTTTGTCTGAGCAGAGCAGCGATGACAGACGATCCCTCTCTGACAAACCTGGCTGGAAGTTCTTCAGCACAGACATCTGTGATGAATTCAGCTTGCATTTTAACTCCGCAGTTCACTTTTATTTTAAATCAACAAGGCACCCGTGTATTGAACTTCACAAGTATATTGCTGTGAGTCTTTTAATCTCCAGGTGACTAACTAGCCCATCACTCATATTGCCTCAACACTTCATACAGTTGATGCAGGCAGCATATCCAAGCATGCTGCTATTAGCATCAACAGCTGCTGCCAACCAGCAAAAAGAAACACAGCCCTTCAGAGGACTTATAAATTACCCATCAAAGTTCATCTGGTCTCCGTGCTAACACAGCGGGTGAGAGTACAGATTGGCTTCTCCCTGTCCCCACGGTCTCTATCAGCTGGAGCACTGGTGGGTGAGTGGGTAACAGGGCAGCTACCAGCAGGGAGTGAAATCACACGGTAACAACTGTATATCGCTTGCTGCTATTATCCTTAAGTAACACCATCACTTTAAATACCATAAAGTTTTTTATAGTGTAGTTCCCATCAGGTGAAAGAGGTTGGTAAATACTGCTTCATTCCTCACCACTCACCCCAGCAGCTGGGAGAGGTACTACCAGAGACGCATCGACCCGGTGCACAGGAATGAAGTGACTTGTCCTAGGTGACGCAGCCAGCCTAGAAAGTAGCTCCTTTCATCCCAGGAGCGGCATTTTAACTGGGCAGGACTATCCTCTGTACAGCCACTGTGCTCCTGTAGAATCCCAATGCCCTGCAATAAACTATGGACTCTCCCACTCTTATTGCAGGGCCAAAATACTCATCTCAAGGAACCTGCCAGCCTCTACCCAAGGCTAAGCTGCAAATGTCCTTGTAGACCTTGCACCAGCTCTCCAGTGATTTGATCCTACAAGCCAGGCCATCAACTCAGGCCGCTTACAATACTCATGACTTGAAATGACAAACAGGCAACATGGAACAGATCCTCTAGAAGGTAGGCTAAGGCACATGGAGGTGATTTGAGACAGCCAGCATGGCTTCACCAAGGGCAAATCTTGCCTCACCAACCTAGTGGCCTTCTATAATAGACTGACTACATCAGTGGACAAAGGAAAAGTTACGGATGTCATCTACCTGAACTTCTTTAAGGCCTTTGACACAGTCCCCCACAACATTCTTCCCTCTACATTGGAGAGATACGGATTTGGTGGATGGACTATTCAGTGGGTAAGGAGCTCACTGGATGGTTGCATCCAGAGAGTAGTGGTCGATGGCTCAATGTCTGGATGGAGAACAGTGATGAGTCATGTCCCTCAAGGATCTGCACTGGGACCAGTACTGTTTAATATCTTCATCAATGACATAGACAGCGCGACCGAGTGCACCCTCAGGAAGTTTGTGACGACCCCAAGCAGAGTGGTGTGGTTTGCACGCCTGAGGGACGGGATGCCATTCAGAGGGAGCTGGACAAGCTCAACAAATGGGCCCATGTGAACCTCATGAGGTTCAACAAGGTCAAGCGCGTGGTCCTGCACATGGGTCAGGGCAACCCCTGTACCAATACAGGCTTGGGGATGAAGGGATTGAGAGAAGCCCTGCCAAGGAGGACTTGAGGGTACTGGTGGATGAAAAGCTGGACGTAAGCTGGTAACGTGTGTTTGCAGCGCAGAAAGCCAACTGCATCCTGGGCTGCATCAAAAGCAGTGTGGCCAGCAGGGTGAGGGAGGGGACTGTGCCCCTCTATTCCACTCTGGTGAGATCCCACCTGGACTACTGCATCCAGCTCTGGAGTCCTCAGCACAAGAAGGATATGGACCTGTTGGAGCAGGTCCAGAGGAGGGCCACAAAGATGATCAGAGGGCTGGAGCACCTCTCCTATGAGAAAAGCCTGAGAGAGCTGGGGTTGTTCACCCTGGAGAAGAGAAGACTCTGGGGAGACCTTATTGTGCTCTTTAAGTACCTCTAATGCTGAAATTTTTCAAGTCATGGACCTTCCAGGATCTATCCACAGGCAAAATCTGACTTTGCATTGGTCCTTATTGCATCTCCATGTACTTCTAGATTATTTCATAAGATCACTAACAATCTTCCTTGTGTATGTGGTCTTCAGGGATAAAAATTCCAGCTTTGGACTGGTTTTGTAGAGTGCCACGTGTATTTATGGTGCCATATAAATAATACATTGCCCAGGGACTGCAACAGTGCAGCCATTCAGGCTTTCTGTCAAACATCTAAGAGTAGTATCATGGAATCAGCAATCAGGCGCCAAGTTTATAAAAATAACTGTTATCGAACCCTGATCTGCAGTGCCTAAGTATAATTCCATGTAGAACTCAGCAGCATGTGGTGGCACTAAAAACCTCTGAGCTGGTTTGCACAGGCCTCAGTCATTTGTGCCAGGAGCAAAGGAAATCAGGTTTCTGATGTGCTGCTCTGCTTAGGAACCACCCATGCTTTCTCCTCCCCGTCTGGGGCAGCAGTACCATACCTGTACTAACATGGCTCTCTGCGGCGCGGGGGTGCAAGGGCTGGAGCTGCTGCCCGATCCCATCCTGGTGTGCGGCGTGGCTTCATGCCCCAGCACCGCTGGCCACTGGAGGGAAGGTTGGATGCTGTCACTTTTCTTTTTTTGGTCCTCGGCCTGAGAAGGAGAAAAGCAGCAGCAGGTTGCACACCGAGCCTCAGGCTTTGCCGCCCGGATGTTCTCCAACAGCACCACAGTGCGCATCAACTCCCATGGACCTCCCCCCTGGGGAGAGGTCAGCCCCGGCACAATATGAATCATTATTGCCTCTCCATTTACAACCCTTCCTTTTCCATCAAGTTTCCAAACTGCAGCAAGGAAAAGGGCCCAAGTTGCCATCTGCTGTATTCTAGACCATCCCATTTGCTGCAGGCTGGGATTTTAGCTGGGAGGAATCATCTGTCTGTATTTACTTATCTTTGACAATATGCAGCCTGTTTTGCTGCGCATTTATTACTCCCTTCTACAATTCTGGCATCATTATTACATGTTGCTTTCTACTTTAAAATGCTTTCAACACTCTATCTTTTGGTATGTTACTTGCACTATGGAAAAGACTGAGGAACATGATCTAGAAGGAAGAAAGGTCCTTTTACTTCCTGAGGGTATTGCTCATAACAAAAATCTTTACCCTATAGTTTTGACGACACTACTCTTCCCAGTTTCATTCAACATGACTAATTCCCATTGTCTAGTGTAAATCTTTAGTGTATCCTCTGATTCAGCAGCCTAGAAACAGCTCTACACAGTAAACTAGAGATTAATGCCATAAAAACACCCGGTTATCTGTGTCCGGGTGGGCATTCTTAATGGTATCTCTCACTCTATCTGGATGTTTTTGCCTATGTCAGGAAGGTAAGCATGTTCTTAACATAGCCTAGGAAACTGCTGAGGAGACGGAAAATGATTCCACTTAGTCTCACAGATCTCGATTTGGGAAAAAAAGAACACCAAAAAACCTCACAAAAAAACCCACTCTTATTAATACAAGCAATACAGCCAAATACCATGAAATTCTAGCCCCAGTGGGCTCAATTGTTATACTACTCTTGAGGTCAGATTTTCATTACTTGCAACCCCTAATAATGAAAGGGAAATTTTACCATAAGCAAGAAAGAAAATGTAAAAATTAGAGTGGTTTCACTGAGCTAGATACGATAATTTACCTACCACCTCTGTACCCAAAGGGTGCTCACGTGCAATACATTATGGTCCAGCTGCAAACTCCTGCAGCCAACACCTTGGGCTCCCAGAACAGGATGGCAGCCCCTTTCCAAGCACTGAACTAATGTGGCATCAAGCCCAAGCTACGAGTCTGGGCCCCTCAGCTCATTAGCTCTGGTGCCGGTGGGACCACAGAGAGCACAGAGCGAGCTCACATCTGCACACAGCAGGGGACATCTGCCCTGACCCGCCTGCGACAGGAAGAGTGCCATGGCAAAGACAAGGAATACCCAAGAAAGGATTCTGTGCCCCCAAAAATTAAACTTGAGGCTTTGGAGGGGTTTAGGGTTTTTGTTTGTTTGTTTTTAATGCCTCAATGCAACCATAATTCTGCAGAGTTTTTGTGTATCAATAATTGGCCCTGCAAATACCACAGAGCCCTAAGAAGTATGCAAACAAACTCACTCTTGAGTAGGCTATCTCTATCCCCGTGTAGATCTCTCCCAACAGAGAAACTGGCATCTTTTTGGCTAATAAACTGGGAAAGATCAATATCAATAAGAACAAATTCACTGAGTTATCACTGTTAAAAAGTCAGAACTATAAAGCATTTTAAAATTGTTGTGAACAATTACAACTGCTGACATAATTATGAGGTCTCAAACTTCAACCAAAAAATGCAACCCTGTACCACTAATTATGATTTTAGTGGAAGGATCTGTGACTTCCAAGAAGTTCTGAGATTAAATAAGTAAGACTGTAAAATAATTTGTCCTTAGAACTAGAGTATATTATGGTAGCCATAACGACAAGAGCCTAATGCTGTGAACCTAAAAGGCAGGCAGCACTTTATCTACAATTAGTGATATTTTATTTCACCGCTAAACTAAAAGTTAACAGTGATTGCACACTAAATTCCGTAATACATTTCATTCTGCTACAAAGGGGTCATTTACAAAACACATGCCAAAACCATAGATGAGCATTTAAGCTGACATTTTGCAGTTCTTTTGACTTCTAACTACAATGAAGTAGAAAAGAAAGTTAAATTAACTCAATAGAATTGCATTTTCTCCCCACCCACCGAAAGCCTAGCAAAGGCAAAACAGTGCTGTGGACTTTGATGTTGTGTATTTAGCAAAAGCAGCTTACTTGTCTATCCACACCTGATTTACTCCCCAGCTGGAATACGACCCAGCCCTCCACCATCAAACAAATACTGATTTCAAAAGGAGTTCATTCAGATTTCAGTAATGATTTGTTTAATCAGTCAATGCAATAAAGCCTCTGGAGCTAGGGTATTTGGGTTTTTGATGGTTAAGTTGTACTTCAAACAGAATTATTCTCTTGTTTTCACAAACTGCTACTCTAACAAGGAGCTTAATATCTTTTATTTTCCTGATTTCATACTGCTGGTTAGCTGTTTGCAGAATCTATGCAGTTATTAAAATTCATCACTTCAACAATGCTAGCAGTTTCATTTAACTGTTTATCAATATAGAAAATTTCAGCTAAGGGAACCAGTTGCAGCATGCACACACACGAAGAGGTGACCAAGAAGGCACTTGTTTAAAGACTGCAGAAGAGGTTAAGAAGCAGTGCTCTGCATTCCTCCTACGTACATGTGCATGAGCTCTCCTCATGTCTTTGCTTGGGTATTTTGGGAAGATACTTTGCCATGAATGCAGTGGCCATCACATCGACTATTCTCCTTAGACACAGCCATCCGAGGAGCTACTTGCGAGCTGCTGAGATTTTTGACTTCAACCCAGACTTTAGTAACACAACAAATGGCACCAGCTGTAGAACTGGGCTCACAAGTTGGGATTATATCAAAAGGAAAAATAAGTGTGCCAGGAATCATGAGATAACATACATTAAATGGACCTGTAGCTTTTCACAATATGATGACAGCAAGCAGAACAAGTTGGTGAGCAGAAATATCTTCAGAGTTAGCAAAAGAGAGAAATGGATTTCACACATATGTGGCTACCCCTGATCCATCAAATCTTATTTACCTAAAATCCTGCGAGACAAAGAAAAAGAAATGGCATCAAAACCTGACACCAGGGCACAGAGATCTGTGCTTGGGATCTCACGCTGTTCCGTGTCTGGGTCAATTTTGTGAACCCTAAAATCAGGCAAAGACACTGTTAAACCTCAGAGATTAATCTTAATTCTTTCCTCTTTGGAAGAGAAGGGAATGACAGTTGGTTGACCAGAAGGACCTTGTTTCTGCATTCACCAGTCAAATCCTTCTCTGAACTGAAGTAGAAGTGACAGGGCAACCTTTCCTTTCCCTTATCTTCTATATTAATGGAAACTAAAGGCTTTACTGTAGCATAAATGTGTAGTAAGACACAGTCGGTCTGTTCTCTGCTTCAGCATTACCACAGCATCATAAACTGCAAAGCACCAAAATGCTTCATTGGCCAAGACAATACCTCTTTGCTTGTGCTGCTTGATGGAGGATGCCCTGCTGAATTTGAACTCTTGGAAGGTTCCTTCTTCTTCTGCTTGTGGTCATGCTGGAGAGACAGCAGCTGTGTCTGATCTTTGGGGAGAGTTCGATGCACCCTCCTATTGTGCTGCACGTCTTCCACCTTCTGAAAGCAGAGAGGGATGAACCTTAGAGAGGACAACCAAGTTGACTGCTGGAAATACTGGCTTTTCAAAGAACAAAGTGAGCACAATTCCAGCAGGGCTGACAGAAGAGCCACAACCCTGAGCAACAGGAAGCATAAAGTGACCCCAAACACTCTGTGTTTGGCTTTTGAGACAGCACATCAGAAAACCGTATTTTTTCTTTTTACTTTTTTCTAAAAGCAGCGGGCTTTAATGAAACTCTCCATGCTTCTGTTTGATTACAAATCAGTTTGCTGCTGAAACGTTACAAAAACATTGTAGCCGAGGTGCCAGACTTGACAATGAGACTTCAGCATTAGAATTAACCTTTGCTCCATTTTTATTTGTGAAAAAGAAACGGTGCTGGTTACAACCCGAACAGAAACTGGAGATTTAAGCTTAGGCTGAGCTGATGCTGGAAGCTTTCAGAGTAAAGATATTTTAAATCAGATTGAAGTGACTGAAGACCATTTCATCAGGGGGAAACGGCAGGGACAGAAGGGGGAAAGGCAGTGTCATTGCTGTAGATAAGGAGGATGACGCAGTAACAGGTGAACTGAAAGAAGGCTGAATCTGAGAACAAAAGGCAGTAAATGCATTTAAAAAGTCCTTCTCTGGTCTGTGACTCAGAGGATGGGAACACCCTCAGGGAACTGAGAAAGACATCAGCTACAGGAACAGGGAGCTGCAAAATGCTGTCAGTAAATGCTCTTTTCATACCTGCTTCTTTTCTGATTTCCTCTGTCCATCTACTATGAACCGTTCATCTTCCACAGCCCTTTTGTCTTCTTTACACCTCTCCTCTTTCCTCTGAATGGCCTTAACCTCTGCCCACCTCTGCTCACACTCCTGCTGCCTTCGTAGCTCTTGCTCTCGCCTCTGATGCTGGAAGAGAGCCAGGGAATAACATTGCTTATTTTCCTTTACTTTTGTACCCAACAATTACTTACGCCGGTGCTCATTAATCACAAGGCCCATTTCCCGCCAGGCAGTCACTAACAGGGGCACCCGACACACTGCGCAGCAGCAGTGGACAGCCACAAGCTGCCACCGCAACGACTGCCAAACTTGAAGTGAAACCTTTGCCCTTTTGGCAGCTGAGGGCAGATCTGCCATTCATTTAAGCAGGCACGCGAGATCTCCGTGATGGCTGGCAGCTAATCTAATGACAAATGTCTTCCCGTCACTTTGAGAAGGAAGGGTTTTTCCAGAGTCCCCCCGTTTTGCTGGTGCAGCACTACGCTTCACAGATGCCAGCTCCAAAGGACTGGCACAACGCTTGAATTTCTATCAGATACCCATGAGAAGAGACACGTTAGTGATTCAGCAATGCCTCCAACACCATAGCGTGTCAGACAGCTGAAAAGGCAGCAGCTATCTTGTAACATCTTAAAGAGAAGCAGGGCCAGGACTCTGGATCAGACAGACAGACTCCAAACTGGGCAATGAACACCAGAAAGAAATCGGGATCTCTCATCCCACCTGCCTGGGCTTCCACCACCAAACAAACTCAAGCAAAATGCCCTTCCCTTTCTGCTCCCACAGCTCGGGGCAGCTTGTCGGCAGGAAAAGGACAGCGCCCATTGTGTTCAAAAGTGACACAGTTCTCTGAAGGCTAAAGACTACAATCCAGGTTGTGCCGACAATTTGACACAGCCTTCTTGCCTTTCAAAGCCTACTCTCTCCAGACGCATTTTTTATTTGTGACAAGATATAGAACAACAATGCAAGCCAGTCCCTACATCTTCCAGCCGCCTCCTCTGCTCTTTCTGCTGGTCAATCCGTTTCTGCCGCTCTGTCAGCAGCTGCTTCTTGTATTTCTCCTGGTCCTTCAGCTGCTGCTGCTGGCGATGAGGGTCAGAACGGTTTTTGTTCTCCTGCTGCAGCCTCAGAAATTCACGACGCAGAGTTGACTCCCCCGGGAGATTAACTATGGAGCTGAAACAAAGGGCAGGTTTCTACATGACTAAACATAACATTAAAGAGAATACAAGGTGCATTGGGAATTGCTTGTTGTCCTGTGTTAGCAAATGAAGATGTTCTGATAAATCTCCAGCATGTTGACTATGCATCTGCACTTACTGTGCTACGAAACAGCCTGAAGCTGATTATTGGGTCCTTCATTTGAGAGTTTCCTCCCTTTTGCAGGGGAACTAAGCAGCAGCTTATTACAGGCATCTTATACTCAGCAGTTATACTTGATAGCTACAAAACAGTTAGAGCCACCAGAGGGGATACAGGAGATGAGGGATTCAGAGCAAGTTAAGAAAGCCACTCTGGCTGAGGAAGGCTGCCTTCAATGAGAACAGCTTGGGCAGTCAAATTTTCTACTCCAGTAACAAAATTAACCTTGGTTCTCCTTCATCTTCATTCAGCTCATCATCTTCCTCCTCACTTCCACTGTAATCATAGTCCGTTTCTTCTAAAAAAAGAGAACAATAAACAAACCCCAGTGGAGAATGCTGTTATTTCAGTTATGATCTTGAACTTTGTTTCCGAGCACTCAACCTGAACTA